TTGTTTACCTAACACGAGAAGTGAAAATAAGAAATAGAAAAATTGTCATAAATCGACCGGGAATCGAACCCGGGCCGCATGGGTAAACGCCCCACCGCTCTGCCATTGAGCTATCGATGCACCGGTTGATGAATGCCAAATTTTCTATCTCTTGATGCTCGCCTCCTAGCGACGATACAGCGACATCTTGTAGAAAGTATTTAGAACTTACTACATGGTTAGTCCACATTATGAGTGGAATTCAAACCATATGATGAAGCTTGCTTAATCAATCTATTGGGATTTTAATGCACTCACAGGTATGTCATTTTTTCTATTTCTTATTTTCCCTTGTGAGAATAATATAGCACTGTGTGTGAGTGCATTAAAATCCCAATAGACTAACACGACAAGTGTTTTTAAATTTGGTATTCGAATTACAGGTGCACATGGTGAAACACAATGGTGATAGAATATTCGAGTGCCATATTTGTAGCAAAGCGTACGCTCGGAAGAAGACTCTGACGGAACATATGCGAATACATAACAATGATAGAAGATTTGCGTGCACGGTGTGTGGGCAGACGTTCGTGCAGAAATGTAGCCTGAAAGGGCACATGAAAACACACCATATGGAATACATTGAGTAATGACTTGACTGTCCCGATGGCGTAGTGGATAATACCCCTGCCTTCTACACCGAGGGTTCGATTCCCTCCAGACACAAATATTTGATAAGTCAATTTTCAAATATTTGTGTTTAGTCTGGGTGTTTTCTATGTATAATATGTATTTATTTTAAAAAAAAAGTATATAAGTATTATATCAGCTGTCTAGTTCCCATAGTACAAGCTTTGCTTAGTTTGGGGCTATATGGCGTTGTGTGTCTCGTCCAGGGATATTATTTATTTATTAATACTGGGTGTTAATTTAAATGCATGCCATAGCTTTAGGGTAGGTTTAGTATCGATTAAGGATGCCGGAAAAAATACTGAAAAAAATCCCAGACACACAATTTTTTTTTACTTGGCTGACGTTTGATTCAAATGCCTATATCTCTGCCGAAATTCGTTCAATCTCAAAGTTGTTTGGACAAAAGTACGTGAGCGTCATGATGACCGGTGTACCTATACGGATTTGAATGAAACCTATACTGAAAAATAGTACCGAATTAGTACCAAATAGTATCTATAAAATAAAAATTAGTAACTCAATACTTTAGCCGTAATATTAAAATTCTGGTACACCGGCGGTTCTAATGTGAGGATGGCCGGTGTACTGTTATATCTTCTTAATCGCTACAACTATCATTCTGAAACCTACACCAATAAATAGTACCCCCTGAAACACACAATAAGTTGTAAAAATATCAACGGGCTATGAGACAAATGCAAAAACAAATTTATGTTTCGAAGGTACCTGTGTTGCCAGATTGCTCCGCCGAAAAGCCAAACCGTCAGAAACGAAAACGGCGGAGCAATCTGGCAACACTGATAGCTTCGAAACATAAATTTGTCTCATAACCCGTTGATATTTTTACAACTTATTGTGTGTTTCAGGGGGTACTATTTAGGTACTATTTATTGGTGTAGGTTTCAGAATGATAGTTGTAGCGATTAAAAAGATATAACAGTACACCGGCCATCCTGACGTCAGAACCGCCGGTGGTGTACCAGAATTTTAATATTACGGCTGAAGTAATGAGGTACTAATTTTTATTTTAAAGGTCTATCCCACCAAAAACATTTACTTGTAAAAAGTACCAAGTCTCGCCTCTCAGTTCTTCTACTGTAAAAAGTTGTGAGATGTGATGCCAAGTCGGTTATTGATTTATTGACTACTTCAGGAACTTTCATCTTAAGCTATTGCGTAATTAGGTAACATACATCATCTTTTAGTAACCATATCGATATTTAAAAACTTTTGTATTTACAATAACTAGAATGACCCGGCCATCGCACCAGACCATCGTATCTCACAAGCAAATAGTGTGCGATTGCCAAGTCATTCTAGTTATTGTAAATACAAAAGTTTTTAAATATCGATATGTTTACTAAAAGATGATGTATGTTACCTAATTACGCAATAGCTTAAGATGAAAGTTCCCTGAAGTAGTCCTTGAATAAATCAATAACCGACTTGGCATCACATGGATCTCACAACTTTTTACAGTAGAAGAACTGAGAGGCGAGACTTGGTACTTTTTACAAGTAAATGTTTTTGGTCATTTCTTTTTGTAGGAAATCTTAGTCTTTCTCTTTACTGGAACTACTTCTTGAGCCTCATATACAAACTTCCTCAAAGCCCATCCGCAAAGTTAACTTTGTAATCCTATACATTTGTATGGAAATACAAAGTTAATTATGCGGTTGCAACCGAATTTCCAGAATGTTAGAGTTTTCCCTTTATTCATACACTAAATACAAGTTGTATTCTAAATTTGAAGCTCCTCAGTCTGCTAGAAGTACCTTAGAATTTTGATGATCGGTCAGTCAGTCAGGCAGAAAATTAAGAAACTTTGACTAACTATAACTTCTAAACCACAGGTACAAATTAGATGAAATTTGAAATTTATCGTGTCTATGCAGTGCTTGATAAAATATTTTAAAATGAGGGTTCTAAACTTATCGACAAGGGAGTTATAGGGGGGTCGAAAATGGCCTGAACTGGTTCGAGAAAAGGATGTTACGGCCGTGCCGCTTTCAGCTCGACTTGGTGGGGGCACTGCCGTGCCCCCAGATTTGGTACTAATTAGGTACTATTTGTCAGTATAGGTCTCATTCAAATCTGTATAGGTAGGTACACCGGCCATCCTGAAGCTCACCAAAAGTACTTGTGGGCATTCTCTAAACAACAGTGGCAAAAATTGATTTTATCTACACTCAGTTCGTAATATTCGTTTTACAGAATCGAAAGTACGAACGTAATGAACTGCATTACGAATATACAGCCTTTAAAAAAAAACTTTCATACTACTGGCAGCTACATAAAGTAACTCGATTTCTAGTATTTGAAAAAAAATTAAACGAATTGACCCGCGTACCAAATTTTAATCTGTTCCAATTTGACACTGGCCATCAGTAAGTCGAATGAAAAAAAAAAACAAGTGTCACCCGCGGCGGGACGACTTGAAATTATGAGGACTTATTTATTATTAAATCTTTGCTTCAAATCATTTTTCGAATTAAAATTCACCGATAAATGCTATTTAATTTTAAAAGTTGTTCAGCTTTTATGAGCCTCCATTTTAACGTTTTGTTAAAAAGTTACTTATGTATAAAAGTCGTTCAGTTGGTGGTTCCAGTAGATAGGCTTGCAATCGCCATAGTGCAGTGCGGATGTTTGAATTATTTTTCATAGTTTTTCTTGTAGAGTGTAGATAAAATAGTGTATGCAACTGCAAATAATTAGGCTTTAGAATGCTCGTGTCAAACTATTATCACACTCGGCTGCGCCTCGTGTGATAAACAGACACTCTCATCCTAAAGCCTCTCATTATTAGGCAGTTGCATAAACTACTATTTAAAAAAAACGTTTGACTAAATCAGAAAATGAAAAAAAAATTTTTTAACTGAAATTTTTTCAATATTTTTTACGGCGTCCTCAATCGATACTTAACCTACCCTGAAGGTATGGCATGCATTTAAATTAACACCCTGTATAATGATCCTTTGGGTGTTAATGATCCTTTTGAATAACGATATACTAAAATGTGAATGATAATTCAGTCAAGGAAATGGCTATGAGAATTAAATAAAAAGTTATAATCTAGTACGAGTTTCATTTAAACGAAATAAGGAAAAATAAACTTGCCGAGAGGCTCTCTATGGCGCGCCCAATCTAGACACACGGCAGTGTGTCCGCCAAGTTCGAGCAAAAAAAGCGACACACCGGCCGTGGGTTATATTATAACTCGATTTTTATAACTGTGCGTTTGGAGCTGTCAAACTTTGTATGGGATTTGACAGTTCAAGTGTCAAATCGTATAGAAAGTTTGACAGCTCCAAACGCACAGTTATAAAAATCGAGTTATACACGAACCATTTCGGGCCAAGTTCGACCCACCTATAACTCAAAATCTATTTTATCTACGCATATGAAATTTCTAGCATCTGTCGAGATCTACTTACTTATCTAAAATACAAAATTTCATTAATGTACCTATTGTAGCTCTTGAGATATTGACGTCAGAAAATCGCTATTTTTACTATACACTCACTGACTGACTCACTCACTCATCAAAAACCTAGACCACTTCCAATGGTCGTATTGACTTGAAGAGGTAGGTCTTTAGGTGAAGGTAAAGGAAAAAATCTGAAAATGGCCAAGTGTGAGTCGGTTTTAAAAATAATGAAGGTGTAAATTCATACCCCTAAGGAACTAAAACAAAAAATTTATCTATATCTTCCAATCGTCGTACCGACCTAAAATTCGTTACGAAGGTTTGTATTTAGGTAGTCAAAGTAAAGTATAAATGAGATTTCCTTACCTAACTTAATCATAAGAAAAAAAGAAAATAAACCTTACAAAAATAAATGAAATCCCACCCAAAACATAAATGTGAAAGGCTGCCAAGTTCGATAATATTGGAATGCTTCGCCTATAAAATAAGTGAGATCTAAATAAGTACCAAGTTCCATACACAGACCTCAGTTAAAAATGCACACTTCGGGGTACAGACGGGGAGGGGGGGGGGGGGGATGTAGGGGGAGGAAGCGCGTCATTTTAATATGTCGTGCGGCGCGGATGCACGCGTCTCCCTTCCCCGCTACACCTCCCGCTACCCGCTGACATCTTCACCCCCAAAGACTTAGTATGTAAGGTCTTTAGGTCACGCACGAACTTACAGTTTTATCGGACTTACAGTTTTATCTTCTAAACAGTGCCCCGACAAATTCTTGTTTTTGTGTGACTAAATTGTCGATACATGATGTTATGGCTTTCCACATGGGGCGTGCCATGGAGAAGCTTCGCTTCGAGACGAGCATCAAGAGGTTGAAAGATTTGTTAGGGTCAGCCAGGCGCCGGTAGCTCAGTTGGCCGAGCAGTGGGACGGTACCCCTCGGGGCCAAGTTCCCGGGTTCAAATCCCGGCCGACGCTCTCTCTCTTTAATTTTTTTTTATATTCTCAGTCTTTAATTGTTTCTTATTTCCATTTATCAGAATAATGCAACGTGTTACAAAACAACCAATGAAGCTGCCATACACATTGAGTTCATTTTGTATGGCAGGTCCAATATTTTTTCCACATTTCAACCCATGTTCCATGGGGAAAGTTGTTCAGTTTTATAAGTACCTTGATCTCCTTTTAGCTTTATTGTATGTTTTGTAACACCCAGTATTGAGTCTGTGAGTGCATTAAAAGTACCGATATATACGGTTAAATTTAATTAAGTACAAATCTCTAGGGTGTAATCTACTTACAAAACTGGACAACTTTTGTTAGAAACTTTTCTTTGAAATATGAAAAAAAAATTGCTCCTCCCATACTAAGTGACACACTTTTTCAGGATTTTTGCATGGGAGGTCCAATTTTCTTTTTCATATTTCGAAGAAAAGTTTCAACCAAACTTGTTCAGTTTTGTGAGTAGATCACACCCTCAAAAGATTTGTACTTAATTAAATGTAACCCTATATACGGTGAAATTTTACTAGTGACCGAGAGCGAAAATTCAGAACCGGCTGGTGATAAGCAACAACTTTCTCCAAGGATCATAGGTCGAAATACGAAAAAATAATTGTCCTCCCATAGTAACTGAAATCAGCTGATCGGCAAATTTGTATGGGAGGTCCAAATTATTTTTTTCGTATTTCGGCCTATGTTACTTGGGGGATGTTGTTCCTTATCACCAGCTGGTTCTGAGTTTTCGCTATCGGTCACTAGTAAAATTTCACCCCATATTGGGCAAATAAATTAAACACATTTAATTGTTTGAAATAAATACATTTATTTACATTATTTTGAGTAGCAGGACCAGGGGTAAGTAAGTAGGCATGTCATGTAAGTAAACTTTTTTAACAAAATGGCGCTAGTAGGTATTCACTAGGATATACCGCAAATCTTAGCTGTAATATAATATTCTAACACTACTATATTCGTACTATAGGTATTGAATTTGTACATTTAAGTAATGTAATAATATTTACACATTATAACAAAAAATAAATTTACGTTTATATCTTCCTAACTGTATATAGGTACAAATGTATTAAGTTGGTCTTTAAAAGTCATATTTTACATTATAGTTCGAGAGCCCAGGGGGTAAGTGGCTATCTCATATAGAGATGGGCGGTGGGTATATACCCAATCTACCCATTTGGGTAAATACCTGGGTAATTGGGTATTTACCGGGTAAATACCCATATGTACCCAAATAGGTGGGTAGATTGAAAAGTAATATTTTTTTCGTAATTCTCATTATTTTTGATTTTAACCATGACAGTTCGTTAGATAATATGAATACTATGATTGATAATATATAGAGAGCCTTGTACGAGCAGGCGGAGTTAAGTTATAGGGAGAAAAGAGTAAATTTGTATTTTTTCATATTTTGACCTATGTTCCTTAGGAAAAGTTGTTCAATTTCATGGGCTGGTTTATCTTTTCAAATATTTGCAGTTATAATTTTAACAACTTTTACGCGTGAACTTGACGGTTTGCCTAAAACTTTGCGAGCATGCTCGGACCATGAAACTGAACAACTTTTTCTATGGAAGCCATGATGGCAAACGAGAAAAAATTTTCGACGTCCCATACATTTTTATCTACCCACCTATTTGGGTACATACGGGTATTTACCGGGTACGTACGGGTATTTACCGGGTAGTTGGGTAAATACCCGGGTACGTGCCCATCTCCTCATAAGGTACCACGATAGGCTAGGTTTGGATCGTTAACCAAGACTTAAACAAGTCGTATGACCCAGGTCTGCCAGAGCCAATCCTGCCGAAACATAAAAATAATCGATATTTTTCAGTCATTTTTTCGTAAAAAATATGTCATAAGGTACCACAATGAAAGTGCTGGCATCAGTTAACCATTGAAAAATTATGTAAAAAAAGCTTGGTCTGCCACTGCGCACCCTGCCGGAAGTCCTTGTCAGACCCCTCCAAATATACCCTTCCGACACCCCTAACCTATCTCATCTAAGGACTTCCGGCTGAGTGCGCAGTGGCAGACCAAGTTTTTTTAACATAATTTGTCAATAGTAAGCTGATGCAAGCACTTTTATTCGAGTTCCTTATGATATGACAATTTTAACTGATAAAATCTGCAGAAGTTATCGAATATTTTCATATTTAGGAGGATTGTGCACAGAACAGAGACCTACTATCCAGTTGACCTATACAAATCGAATCTCCTAATCATTACGAGCATTTCATACCAAGGCACCATCAAAATCAAACCAGTGGTTAGGTAGGGGTGAGATAGGTTAGGGCTGTCGGAAGGGTATATTTGGAGGGGTCTGACAAGGACTTCCGGCAGAGTGCGCAATGGCAGACCAAGTTTTCTTAACTCAATTTATCAATGGTAAGCTGATGCCGGCACTTTTATTCGGGTACCTTATGATATGACAATATTAACGGCAAAAATCTGCAGAACATATCGAATATTTTCATGTTTAGCAGGATTGAGATTTTTTCCGTTAACATTGTCATTTCATAAGGTACCCGAATGACAGAGCCAGCATCAGCTTACCATTTATAAATTGAGTTAAGAAAACTTGGTCTGCCATTGCGCACTCTGCCAGAAGTCCTTGGGAGACCCCTCCAAATATACCCTTCCGACACCCCTAACCTATCTCATCTAAGGACTTCCGGCTGAGTGCGCAGTGGCAGACCAAGTTTTTTTAACATAATTTGTCAATGGTAAGCTGATGCAAGCACTTTTATTCGAGTTCCTTATGATATGACAATTTTAACTGATAAAATCTGCAGAAGTTATCGAATATTTTCATATTTAGGAGGATTGTGCACAGAACAGAGACCTTCTATCCAATTGACCTATACAAATCGAATCTCCTAATCATTACGAGCATTTCATACCAAGGCGCCATCAAAATCGAACCCGGGGGGAATAAGATATAGGCCAGTTTTCATAGACCAAACCTCCATTTCAAACTTTTTGACAGGATTGTGTTCAATACTAAAACCCTCCACCCAACTGTCCTATATGACTCGAAGCTCCTCATTATGGGGAGCATTTCGTATTAAGGCATCATCAAAATCAAACACGGGGGGAAAAAGATATAGGTCATTTTTCATACACTGGACCTACAACTTCAAATGTCTGAAACACTAGGATGCGGCAAGTTTAGGCCTGGCAGACCTTGTGATCTATTGTCAGAGTGATCTTGGCTATTATGTTGTAGTGGTCGCGTCGTGGTACCCGATGAGATAGTTTAGGGGTGTCGGAAGGGCATCTTTGGAGAGGTCTGGCAAGCACTTCCGGCAGGGTGCGCAGTGGCAGACCAAGCTTTTTTTACATAATTTTTCAATGGTTAACTGATGCCAGCACTTTCATTGTGGTACCTTATGACATATTTTTTACGAAAAAATGACTCTGAAAAATATCGATTATTTTTATGTTTCGGCAGGATTGGCTCTGGCAGACCTGGGTCATACGACTTGTTTAAGTCTTGGTTAACGATCCAAACCTAGCCTATCGTGGTACCTTATGAGATAGCCACTTACCCCCTGGGCTCTCGAACTATTAGGTAAGTAAGGTTATTTTCTATTCAATAGAAAACTATACTCATAAGTAGGAACCATAGCTCGAATGTACTTTGAGCATGAGCAGGACATCAACATACCTCTTTTAAGAAATCAACTTATACTGCATAAAATACCAATACCGGAAGTAACGGAAAGGGTATAACAAGCCGAAAGGAGGTCAAGGTACTCATGAAACTGAACAACTTTCCCTATGGAACATGCGTCGAACGAAATATGAAAAAAATTGGACCTCCCATAGTAAATCGATTAGCTGATCAGCGATTTTGTATGGGAGGTCAATTTTTTTTTCTTTCATAAATCAATTTTTTGTTAAAACAAAACGTGCTGCGATGATGTGCCGTGCCGTGCAGAATATTTTGGGTGTTCCACAAATTTTTGCCGAGTAGGTATGAATTTTTCTATGGAACATCTAATTTCTTTTTGCGAATACGCAGGTGGTCCCATAATAAGAATTGATCATAATCAGGAGTAGAAACACCCTGAAAAGTTTGCGCACTGACTGAAAAATAACCCCGTCTTAATTATCGATGAACTTGATGTTGCTACGCGAAAATCGTAATAAAATAATGCTTGGACCTGACGGCTCACATTTATTTTGGGTATTTATAACTGGATAGTTCGATATGCTGCTAACAGAACATAAACATGGCTTATTATATAGGTATACATATATTATATTAGGGTAATAGATAAAACATATCAATCGCCAACAATTTCTTCCTTTATTCGACAATTGGTTCTAAGCTTTCTCCATTTTCTGAGCTGTTTACTTCAATCGTTTTCACAGTTTTCTAACATATCTTCACTTATATTGTCTAAATTATTTTGCATATCTGCTTCTAACATTTGTTCATTTTCACCGACATCATTCGTTTCGTCATCTAAAATCTCTTGTTTTATAAAATTATTATCTATTACTTCTATTTTACATTTATTGGGTTTATGTTCGTGCCGTTTTATATGCCTACTTAAGGCACCCTGCCTTTTGAATTTCCCATGGCACGTAGGACAAGTGTAATTCTTAATATCTGTATGAGATTTGAAATGATCGCTCAAATGTCCTTTTCGGGCGAACTTCTTATCGCAAAAGTTACAAGAATACGGCTTCTCTCCCGAATGTACTCTGGCGTGTTGTATCAAATGGCCCGTTTGAGAAAATCTTTTGTTGCAAACCTCACAAGCATAGGCCTTGATGTCATCATGCATTCGGACGTGTCTTGCTAACGTATTGCTTCGAGCGAACTTTTTATTGCACTTCCGACATTCGAAAGGCTTTTCTCCAGTGTGTATCCTAGTATGGTCAAGCAAGTTACTTTCTTGTGCAAACCTTCTGTCACATAACCCACAAGCATAAGGCCTCTCAGT